ATCAATGTCCACTGATTGGACGAGCGACGGGCGGGCGTTTTCATTGGCTGCTGATTGGCCCAGTATCCGGCGCTGTTTTTTGCGGCCGTATAGCCCAATCAGCAACGAATACACACAACGCGAGCCGATAACGAACAGACGACGGTCGGCCATGGTCGCCCCGCCGGAGCCGAAACGAGAGATGTACTGCCAGTTTCCATAGCGCTTCACACGGTCTTGGGCATCCGAACGACCTACTGAAGTGTGATAAATGAAGTATGATTTCATTTTATGTGGTGAAAATTGCTGATACCGGAAAACGTTAGGACCCAGTCGCAGCAGTCCTATCCGAGCACAGCGGCCTAACCGTGGCTGAAGTAGCAGGCCTGTGGGTAAATATACTGACAAGCGTCTAACGTTATGAAGTATTGACCATTGAACAGTTGTAAAACATCGCTGGAATACACAAACTGTGTTTGCTGCCTTGTTGCAGCTAAAACACACACCAAATGCTAAGGTCATTCCGTGAACAGCAATAGTGACATAGGCGTAGGAACAGGGGGGGCCGGGGGGGGCCATGGCCCCCCCACTTTCGGAGGTGGGGGGGCCAGCAATGTTAACTGGCCCCCCCACTTTTTGCTGACTTAAGTGTCTGTCTGTACCTAACCTACCACCCGGTAACTTGACAACTATTCAGCTTGCCCTTTAATGAGGATTCCTTTTTGTTTCTACAGCGTTATTGACCGCAATTTCCTTCACTCAATGAAGGAAACCATATCAGAGACAAGACTGTGAGTCCTGGTGACAGCATTTTGTTGAATACGAGGCGCGGGACAGCGAGCACTAAAAAGGTATAGGCAATACTAAGACAATACTAGCACGGTGCAGGAGAATGCGTATACAAACGACCAACGCTTGACCTTATCTGCTTGGGGTCGGCATAGTTCGTCAAAGACGTACTAGCTGGGGGCCAGGGTGACCGTGCCTCAGCCTCGTTTCAAACAGGCTGGGGGCCAGCAATGTCTGTTTCTGCCCCTCCCCCTTCCACTTTCAGTGCAGTGACGGTCGCAGAGGGGGATCAGGGCCATGCCCTTCCCCCCTCCAAAGGCTAATCAGGGGGCCATCATATCATTTGGCCCCCCCCCAAACAACCAATGGGCCCCCATGGGCGTATGGGGCTCTGGCCCTTATTCGATTGTCACGAGACTCAAGAATCCCACGCTAGCTATTAACAGCTCCCAAACCAGTCTTTGAGGGTCCTACACTGATCTCGGAGGGCCCTTCAGTGGCGGTCAAGCGCCCACATTGACCGCTGAGAACCCACATTGACCTCATTTGAGGGCCCCTAAACCGGCCTCAAGGGCCCAGCCGGCGTCTGAGGGCCTCACACCGGCCTCTGGTGGCCTCATTTCTGTCTCTGGGGTGCCTTTAGGTGCCTTTGAGGGCCCCGCACTGAATTCTGAAGACCCGATGCCGGCCTCTAAGGGTCCGCATCGGCCTCTGAGGGTCCACCTTGGCCTGAGGGGTCCAACGCCGGCCCATGCCGGTCTTTTAGGGCCCCACACTGACCTCTAAGGGCCCATGCTGACCTGTAAGGACCCACATTAGCCTATGAGGCCTTGCACGGGATTCTGAAGACCTGATGCCGGCCTCTGAGGCCCATCTTGGTTTTTGAGGGCCTTCTGCTGGTCTCTGGGTTCCAACACCGGCCCATGCCGGTATTTTAGGGTCCCACATTGACCTCTAAGGGCCCCGCACTGGATTCCGGAGATCCGATGCCGGTCTCCAACGGTCCGCATCGGCCTCTGAGGGCCCACCTTGGCCTATGAGGGCCCTCCGCTGGTCTCTAGGTTCCAAGTCCCTCCCATGCCGGTCTGTTACGGCCCCACACTGACCTCTAAGGGCCCATGCTGGCCTGTAAGGACACGCATTAGTCTCTGAGGGCCTTGCACTGGATTCTGAAGACCCGATGCTGGCCTCTGAGGCCCATCTTGGTTTTTGAGGGTCTTCTGCTGGCCTCTGGGGTCCAACACCGGCCCATGCCGGCATTTTAGGGTCCCACACTGACCTCTGAGGGCCCATACTGGCCTGTAAGGACCCACATTAGCCTCTGATGGCCCAAGTCGGCATCTTAAGGTCTCATCCTGCCCTTTGCAGGCCCTGTACTGGTCTCTGAGGGCCTTAACCCTCGCCAGCCGGGGGGGGGGGGGGGTGCCGCCCCTCCATAGTTTTTTTTTTCGCGATAGCTCCGAACGCGCCGGCGATAGAGAGCTGAAGCTTGGCATACCTGACCTTTGAATCAAACGGGATCTTTTGACACCAACCGCATTTTCGGGTCAGATCAGGTCACTGACCCATGTGGTCATAAGTGAACCTCTGCACGGTCTTCAGATGTCGCAACTTCGCAACGCCCTCACTGCCAGAGGAGATTTCACAGGGAAATGAACCTTGGAGGACCTAGTATCCAATAGGAGTCTTTCAACTTGTATAATGTATATCTCGGATTTTTCCTAAAGTTCATATGAGGTCAGGTCATTTTCGTGACCTCACCATTAGGTATAAGTCAATGGGGATAAACTGAAAACTTTTTCTGGCGCCGGGAATGATCGATCTCCAACTATCTCAAGCACACCGAATCGTGATTTCATGCACTCCTTGCAAGGTTCGATGCGTCACTTTTGCAATGTTGACCTTGCGCGACGTCATTTATGAAGTTATAAGGGTCTTATTAGTTTTTCGTCAATAACTAGGTACCGATCAAATTGAGCTAGCGAGTCGGGAAAGCCACCTATGGACTCAAGAAGACCTGCCGAATCGAATGATATGCGACATGACCTCCTTCGACCAATTTCGTGACCTGGGGACGCCGACCTGACCGTGACCCGAGGTCAACACCCTAAGTTTACCTCACCCAAACAAAAAGTATATCATTCGACGCGCCTGAGAGAGGCGAACACGATGCTGGCAAAATCGCGGCTCTGCGGCCATTTTTTTGCGAAGTTATTCACCAAAAACGGAACCGTGCCTTGAGGCACTTGACCTGACCTCAGAGTTCACCGGTTTTTGTTTGTTTTGTTGGGTTAGGCCCTTTCGGTCCAATGAGACCATTTCAGAGCCGGAAGGATGATATGATATAGGGGGAGACATTGGTCTGGGCAGGCACCCTAGTGAGTCGCCGGGGCTGAGCCCGTCCAGAGGACAGGCCACCCAGCCCCAAGGCACTCACTGCACCCGGCTACGGGGTGCGCTCCCTCGGGAGCAGCGGTGCCGCTCCAAGGGAGCAGCCCGCATGAGATAAAGTTGCCTGTCCAGCCCGGAGGGGGTTGCGGTGTGGAGGAGAAGGATTTCAGTATCCTGAGGATAGAAGCACGGAACGGTGTCAGAGGTCACCGGTTGACCTAGGACCATAAAATCGGGTATCGATCTCTGCGTCCCGTAACGGCGCACACGCTCGTTTTACCGCGACGCGCTAGCTCCACCTGGGGCGAAACGGCGAGGGGGTCGTACCCGCCGGCCCGCCCCTTCGGCCAGCGCGTATGTAGAAAACCTATAGGACCGGGCCGTGGAGGGTTAAACTGGCCTCTGAAGGCCCAGACCGTCTAAAAATCCCACACCGGCCTCTGATAAGTGATAGTCAATCAGCCCAGTTGCAGTGGTCGCTGATATAAAACCTCTTAAAAACGTTATAGGCCTGGCTGAGCCTAGCTGGGCCGTTCATGCTGCTTTTTATAGGTATATTGAAAAGACTCGCTTTGCACGTTTCACGCTTGCTCGTAATGAAAAAGTTGCTGGATGCCTCTGGAATTTGCAAGGGTGCCAACGGCTGCGGAGGTCAGGGGAACGCGTCCATCAGTTTGAGCTTATGGACGGGAGACTCCCTGAAATTTCAACCAATTTTTTTTCTTTTTTTGTCTCGATTTTTTTTTTTACCTCTGAGCATGTTTGCGAAAACAAAGTGGCCGAAATCCGAGGAGAAATCGGATTTTGGGGGTAGGTTAGGTTTTGGACCTCTGGGACCCTGGCCCCCCCACTTTCGAAAACGTTCCTACGCCTATGAATAGTGACCAAGGTGGTGCCACAATGCGACATTTTTAACGACAAAGTTCGGAGTTGTTGAAGCTCGGAGAAAGAACCGGTAACAGCCCGCCGGGGGTACAAAGTTTTCTGCTAACAACAGCGATGTTTATGTGCGCTCTGTGCTTTTCATCCTGTTTACGAGCGGCTTCCGAGCTCCGGTCAAATCAGAAGCCACGGCCGGACGCGCACAGAGCCAATAACAGAGGCAGCGCGCCCGGGAGGTCCTGGATTCCGCTCAGAGCCGGGGAGCGCCGCGAGGCGCCCGGCCGCCGGCGGCGCGCGGACCAATCAGAACATTCCTGGTCGCCCGGCTCCTGATGAGTGTCAGTGGGGCGCGCTGGCACTCGGCACCGCTCGGCTGGGGGCGACAGGAAACGCCCCACCTGCGCGGCGACGGCTGCCACCGACAGCACTGAGACCGGCTGGTTTCCACAGAATCGGTGGGATCAGGATTCCAAACGAGTGTGTCAGCTCGAAGCCTCACTGGTAATGGAAAGGCTGGGAAAAGATCTCAGATACAAACGGCTGTGCCAAGCGGCAGAGCAGTAGCTTTTTCACCTCCGACAGCGAAATGCTAGCGGACTACATTTGTCACCAAAAAACGATCAAACTGCCAAACTCAAAGCGTCGCAATACTACAGAGCGTCAACTTCAGTAAAAACACCTCTCCGATGTCAGTGAGGGTGACATTCGTCCCACGAACACATCCAAACTTTCAAAGGAGGCAGTCGGAAAAGCTGCGGCGTAAATGAGCAATTCCAGGGGATGGAGCGGCATTAGTCATGCTGTGCCGGGCTGCGACTGACACTTGGGCCGACAGTCATGCTCAGTGCACCAGCTGCGGACGAGCTGCGACTGACACTTGGGCAGCCAGTGCTCAGTGACGCCGGTTGCGGGAAGTTCGCTCGCCCTGCGGCCATGTCCGCTCCCCCCGCACCACCCACCTTGATGTTTTTGGTCGACTCGAAGCCGTCGAGCTGGTTGAGCAGCTCGAGCATAGTTCGCTGCACCTCAGAGTCTCCACCGGAGCCCGACTCGATTCGAGTCGAGCCGATGCTGTCGATCTCGTCCATGAAGATGATGGACGGGGCATGCTCCCTGGAGAGTCACAAAGACACGACAGTCAACAAAGGGGATGGGTTGGTAAAATAGCGAGTAAAGTGCAAAGAGCCACTGCAACAGATTGACGGCCACACTTTTACATGGTGATGATGATGATGATGAATTGGGCTTTTGGGCGCCCGGACTACAGTGGTCATCGGCGCCACTTTTGCATGGTCCTTTTAAAAGAAACAGAAACAGGGTTACGAGATCAGTAACATGAGCCTGAGATACAGATGAAAATTATATCTTAAAGGCATTCTACATAAATAACAATTTCAACAGATGACTTGTGGCTTGTGCAATACCACGTCTGAGAAACTGGTAATATCCAAGCAGTGTCAAACGAAACTCAGCCATCATCCTTCAATTCAGCCCCATTGGATAGCAGCCATTACCCTAACGTACCCGCAGTGCCATACCTAAACCTAGACAATGCCACCGCACATATCTGACCGTACTGCCGCCTTCCAGTCGCCGCCAGCGCCACCCAATACTTAGTACTACCCACAAGAACCCAGCACCGAAATACGCGTCTCTGAGAACCAACTCCTGCAGCGTAAAGTCCAACTGCACTAATCACGGCGGTACGAGCCGCGGCCGCCGCGGATCGCGCTTCTGATGGCGCTGTTAATTAGACTAGGCCGGCGCGCGCTGGCAGACGGTGCGCTCCGCAGCGCCCCGGCCGGCCGCCGTCGCTGAGTTAGGGTGGCGCGGGGGCCGTGTCGGGCAGATTATATGGCGGAGCGCCGGTGTGAACACCACGGTAACGGCATTCCCCGGCCGCCGGGGGTGACTCCGGACCGCCGCCGGTCGTACTGGCATACAGTGAGGGTGGGGGTGGAGACGGGGTTGGGGGTCAGAGGGGTGAGACGCTGGGAGTACGGGGGGAGAAAAAGCGACCGGCGAGAGGCATTGGGTGAAGAGAGGATGAGTGAGGGAGAGAGAAAAGAAGTTTAATGATAATCTTCTTGAGAATATTGAAGGACGGATTTGAGTGAACTATCATGGAGGGGCAAACCACAAGGAATAAGCAAGGACTGCTTACAAGGAACAAGCAAATGAGTGAGTGAGTGAGTGAGTGAGTGAGTGAGTGAGTGAGTGAGTGAGTGAGTGAGTGAGTGAGTGAGTCGCCGATCGGCAGCCCCCACTGAGTCCCCCGGCCCGCCAGCGCCGACCGCCGGCGTCAGCCCGTCGCACGGCGTTCCACCCCAGAGGCCGGCGACGGGAGAGCCGACTTGCCAATCCAACCCTGTTTGTAGGTGAGAGCACGACAGTAATGGAGGCAGCAACCCGACCTCTGCCCGCTCTACATTATTCATAGCGACATTAGCATATTTGATCTGCATCCAAATAGCCAACCGGCGACCGTAAAGCACTTTAACACGATGAAAACCATTGTTGGTTTCCCACAGGGAAAACGAAGCCTCGACTCAAAGGATATTCCAAACCGAAGCACGGTGTGTGGTTGCGTTTTATGCCTGCCGTAGTTTTGCTGAAATGAATTAAATTTCATGCAACATCCAATTCCATTAGAAGTGAGGGTAAACACAAAGTGAAAAACTACCTAAAAAGCAACGAGGTTTACGAATATTACATCTAGCCAAACTTATATTGATGCGAGCAAAATCGATGGAGGCCTTTCCTCCGACAATCAGGACTCCCAACACGGTCCTGCCTTCAGGCTTTAGCTCAGTGTATCACGGGCTGAAACGGAGCAGCTGGGAGTAAACACATTCAATATGCCGCCACTTCAAACGGCGACGCTTATTATGGCATCTGTTGAGCACCAGTCTACAGTTGCGGGAAATACAGCGCCCTACCGGGAGCACCTGGTGGTTTGCGGGGCTCAGGTGCTACCAGAGGTACTTGGTGGCTGCTCTAGTCCCTACCCAGCGCGCCCAGCGACAGTGCAGAGTTCTCGTCGGGGTAATCCGAGAACCGTTCAGTCCTCAGCGGGAGCTCCAACGACTGATCCAATATATCAAGAGGAGCACTCAGACATCTGATGCCCTTCTCGGTACCAAGTAGAGGCACAATGCGTTGTGTTTTATGGAAGGGATTGTATTGTGTGCAAACGTCTTATAGACTTGCACCCGTGCGACGATATCGTATTAAAAGAGTCGAGAATGAAAAACAAAAATTACTTGAGTTTCAGTCCAAGTGTGCGAAGTGTATCAGGAGACCGTCAAGTGTAAGAAAAATGGTCACCGCAGAGTATGCAGCAGGAATTAAAGAAACTTTAGGTGCTACAGAAAAAGCATGGTACGCGGAACTCAGGAACGGGCAGATCTTGTCCTCATCCTACGCAGATTCGATATGGCACGAGGTTACACCCTGCAGACCCAGTAGGGCACGTCCTATCTAGCTGGACCTGGAAAGACAGATCCTACCACGCTGGACCCAGTGTGGGATATGTCCTGCTCTCCAAAGGACCCCGTGAATACCGACCACGCGTCCTCACCTGGCCATGACAAACAGCTCTCGCACCATGCGCGAGCCCTCGCCGATAAACTTCTGCACCAGCTCGGAGCCGGAGACGCGGATAAAGGTGCAGTCAGTGTGGTGCGCAACGGCGCGCGCCAGCAGCGTCTTCCCTGCGTCATACATGCCACGCGAGAGTGTCAGTCAAGGGCCAGACGAGACACCGATACAACATATATGTAAGCACAGTCGCCAGATTTAACACTGGTCTACTTAAAGGTAGTGTGCCACCTTTGAAAGATTTTCCATTTTATTTTTCCTAGGATAAGAAGCTTCTGTTTTTACCTAATATCGCAAAAAAAAAATCAAAAATGGGCCTGGAATAGTGCCTTTTTCGCCTAAAAGTTTTTCGGTTTTTAGATATGTATAACAACTGTAGTGGGCTCACCTGCAAACAGGCGTCGGGCAACAATCGCGAATGCGGCGCACTTGTGACAATAAGCAAAGGTCATTATAGTGTTACGACCATACGATGTACGGGAATGAGTGATCAGCTGTCTAATCGTAGACAACACAATGTCGAGCCTTAAACTGTAAGCCCGTATTGGTATTGTTTCTTTTATTTGGCTGTCGAACATTATTTATGGTTTGAAATATGATTTTATGTAAAATAATTGATATGAAAAAGCCGTCTTATAAGTTATGACCCCATTTCACCACACGCAAGTGGCAGAAATGACAATGATCAGCTGACGCATTTTTCTTGGCCGAAGTCAGAGCGCGCGGCCCGACGCACCACGCGTATTTGGAAATTCCGACCTCGACGAGCATCAGAAGCCACCTAACAGGCGTGTTCGAAACCGCAGGAGATGATGATGAACGGGTTTATCGAAACTTGATTGGATGAGCCTATCGGTAATAGCGATTTTAGTATGTGCATTTATTGTTCATAGTGGTGTGAAATGTGGTTGGGGTACGACCGACAACCCGTCGGGGCGAATTTCGCACTGGGGTACTCAAAATTTGAAGAATTTAAGACGTTTCCATGAGTTTTGAAGGTATGGATAAGTTCTAAAAATCCGGTTCTCCTTACCCGGGTCATTAACTCCATATGGTCCAGGAAAGCTGGCACACTACCTTTAACTCTTTAGCCACAACCTCATTTACCAATTGTAAGCAAGTATATATGAATGTGCTATGTGTATATATGTTGTGGACGCTGAGTAGTGAGTACTTACCAGGAACGTTATCAGGTAAGCAAATCGTTGTCAGTCCGACGAACTTGACCCTGGCGTCTAAAGGGTCTGTCCTTGACACTTCAGGCTTGTCAGGGGCACCAAAGTCCTTCCAGGGACACCGCAGGCCTGTGAGGGGCACCAGCGGCCTAGCAGGGGCACCAGTCAACACAGGCCTGCCAGGGGGACCACAGACCTGCCAGGGGCACCAGAGGCCTGCCAGGAGCACCACCGACCTCGCAGGGGTAACTTGGGCCTGTCAGGGCCCAGGGGCACCACGGGCCTGTCGAGAGGCACTTCAGGCTTTTCAGAGGCACCATAGTCCTCTCCGGGCGCAGGGGTAGCAGGGGCACCAGAGGCCTGCCAGGGGCACTACAGGCCTAGCAAGGGCACCACTGGTCTATCAGGGGCACCACGAGCCTGTCATAGCCAGGCATCTCAGGCTTGTCAAGGCCCAGGGGCACCACAGGTCTGTGAGGGGCACCAGCGACTTAGCAGGGGCACCAGTCAACACAGGTCTGCCAGGGGCGCCACAGACCTGCCAGGGGCACCACAGACCTGCCAGGGGCACCACCAGCCTCGCAGGGGCACCTTGGGTCTGTCAGGGGCACCACGGGCCTGCCGAGGGGCACTTCAGACTTTTCAGGGGCACCAGTCCTCTCCGGGCGCAGGAGTACCAGCGGCCTAGCAAGGGCACCAGAGGCCTGCCAGGGGCACCAGCGGCCTAGCAAGGGCACCAGAGGTCTGCCAGGGGCACCACAGGCCTAACAAGGGCACCACGGGCCTGTCAGGGGCACCTCAGGCTTGTCAGGGCCCAGGGACACCACAGTCCTTCCAAGGGCACCGCAAGCCTGTCAGGGGCACCATAGGCCTGCCAGGGGCACCACAGGCCTAGCAAGGGCACCACTGGCCTGTCAGGGGCACCTCAGGCTTGTCAGGGCCCAGGGGCACCACAGTCCTTCCAGGGGCATTACAAGCCTGTCAGGGGCACCAGAGGCCTAGCAAGGGCACCACAGGCCTGCCATGGACACCACAGGCCTGCCAGGGGCACCACCGGCCTTGCAGGGGCGCCTCAGGCCTGTCAGGGGCACCACGTGCCTGCCGGGGACACTTCAGGCTTGTCAGGGGCGTTACAGTCCTGTCAGGGCCCAGGGGCACCAGGCCCGTGGTGTCCCTGCTAGGCCTGTGGTGCCCCTGTCAGGACTGTGATACCCCTGATAGGCCGGTGGTGTCCCTGACAGGTCTTTGGGCCCCCGGGCCTCAAGGGGGGGCCATGACCCATGTGACCCCCCCCCCCTTGGATCCGCCACTGGCGCAACGTCGTGTAGAATCGCTAAAAATTGAGTTAAAAAAATTGACGTCATTAATTTTGAACAGTTTTTTCGCTATAACTTGCTATAACTTGTATATAAGATCTCTATGGCAGAAATGACAATGATCAGCTGACGCATTTTTCTTGGCCGAAGTCAGAGCGCGCGGCCCGACGCACCACGCGTATTTGGAAATTCCGACCTCGACGAGCATCAGAAGCCACCTAACAGGCGTGTTCGAAACCGCAGGAGATGATGATGAACGGGTTTATCGAAACTTGATTGGATGAGCATATCGGTAATAGCGATTTCAGTGTGTGCATTTATTGTTCATAGTGGTGTGAAATGTGGTTGGGGTACGACCGACAACCCGTCGGGGCGAATTTCGCACTGGGGTACTCAAAATTTGAAGAATTTAAGACGTTTCCATGAGTTTTGAAGGTATGGATAAGTTCTAAAAATCCGGTTCTCCTTATCTGGGCCATTAACTCCATACGGTCCAAGAAAGCTGGCACACTACCTTTAAATATGTTGCGCTTATAAATGAATGGGGTTCAATAATGTGGTGTTAAACTGTTCCAAGATAGTAAAACAACGTTAGAATTAATAGCTATAATTTTAGTTGATTTTTTTAATCAGTAGCAGTAGCAACATTGCATGTGGATTGTGTGGAAATACAGTCTCGTGGACATGTCCACTAACCCTATCCTTCTTCGCCGACCTTAAACTGGCGCAAAGAGCAGAACAGTGAGTTGACAATTAGCGCCGAATTAAGGTCCAGCAGTCAATCACAGCGCCGCCCGCCGGCCGCCACCAGTGGTCGCCACCACTCCCCGCCCGTGGCGCCACCGTACGCACCTGTGCCGGGCGGCCCATAGAGGAGCACTCCCTTCGGCTGAGCGATGCCGAGCGCCTCAAACAGCTCCGGGTGCTTGACGGGCAGCTCGATCACCTCTTTGATCTCTTTGATCTGTTTGTCGAGACCGCCGACCATTTCGTAGGTGCTGTCCGGAACTTTCTCGACCATCATCAGCGAGACAAGAGGGTCCACCTGATGGAAACCAGCGAGTTCGTAGGGTCAGGTCAGGCGAGTGCAGGTCAGGGCATTGCACAGCAGGGAAGGACAGTGCTAGAAGGTCAGGGCACATGATAGAAAATGCCAGGGAGGGGACGAGCATTGGGCACGGCTGACAAGAAAAAAAACGGATGCCTCGGATAGAATAGGCAGTCCGAAGACCGAAACATCATTCGATTTATCATCCACGAGGTCATTCTATTGCTATGAACGCCACGAAAATGTTACGAACGTTACGTGCGATACCATACCTCTCAAAAAGTACGTGACGTATATCAGATTTACGGACAATATGTACAACATCGCAGGTTCCCAACTGATAGACTTAAAGCCAACTATCCTCACGCTATGACGAACGCCCTGAGCAGATGGCGTCGCCTATTCGAGCCAGTAGCGGCGGAACACACCAATTAATTAAAGGGGCGGGGGGCACTGCCGAATTTTGGTCCCATTCTTTCCATGCAAAACCCATAGGGCTAATGTTAAAATGCCAAAATCAAAGGGGGGCACGGTCTACCCCGGTGCCCTCCCCGTTCCGCCGCCTATGATTCGAGCTACATCTGACCTTGTTCGGAAGGATCTTGTGCAGTGTGTAGCTGTCGTTCCGCAGGGCCACCCGGCAGTTGGGCGTCACATCGTTGATGTCGATGTTCTTATCGATGTCCACGACGAACTTGCCCTCGGGGTGCACCTTCACCAGCACCTTCTTCTTGTCCATGGGCTTGACGACCTCGCCCACATAGCTGCCCTGCTCCTGCAGCAGCTGCAGCTCCTCCCGCAGCAGACGGACTGGAATGGGAGGGGAAAAGGTGAGCGGTCACTCTTATACGACAGTCGACAGGATGAATATCCGACCAATGCCTATGCCCAGTGACCTTGCAAAAAGTTACAAAAATAGTTGCATTTTGTGTCAGCTCTGGCAATGTAAATACACATAAATGTGACAACATACTTATGCTCATAAAATTACCAGGTAAGATGCTGTCAGTATCACTGGGGTCAGCTATATTTGGTCACGTTCTGTTCTTAAGCTATCCAATAGTGATTCATCCAATCCAATATCTGCTCACACCATTTGATTTTCAGCTCATCCATTTCACACATTCACTACGATAAGTACAAGCAAAATATTGTCTCGATTGGTGTAAAAGTGCCAAACAATTAACCCGCGACCTGTTGGGGGGGGCTATTTTTTGCCCCCCCTCCAGACTTTTCGATATATCTCCAGAACCACTGCGCCGATCGTCACCAAACTTTCAGTACCCTCCCGGACATCAATTTTACACATTGTGACCAAAAATTTTCCAAAGGCTATGATAGGTTGGCCGGAAATGACGTCAGAGTGACGTCATGTTCTGCCGTTTTCGACCCAAAAAAGGGTTTCGCGGGAAGAGCTGTCAGGCCTATAGCTTTGCAAATACAGAAAAATGATACAGACATAAAAGCTGTAGAATGGACAGGGCTACAAAACTGCTATCTTGGATTTTTGAAATTTTTGGATTTTGACCCCCAAAAATCAAAAAATAGATTTTTTGAATATAATAGCCAAAAAATACAAAAAGTTTTTTGAATTTCGAAAAAACCGGAATATATGTGATAGTCCTTACCGCCTTCTATCTACATACCAAATTTGAGATCGATACCTCTTTTTTTGGCCAAGTTATAGCGAAAAAACTGTTCAAAATTGATGACGTCAAATTTTCAAACTCAATTTTCAGCAATTCTAGACCTCGTAGCGCAAAACAAAGACCACCATTAGACTCCCCGTGACGAGCTGCATCGAATCAATACCCATTTTATGCAAAAATATCAACTTTGAAATTTGACCTTTTTTGACCTGACCTTGACCTGACCTCCACCAGAAAGTGACCTAAACCGTACCTGATGGTCTTATAACCAACACCATTGAGTTGGAAATGAAAAACTGGCCATAAAACATGCATCGCATAACCTTAGTAAAGTTGGGTTCATGTGGTGACCCTTGGTGACCTTTGGTGACCTGACCTGTGACCTGACCTGGTATGACCAGTGACCTCTAACAGCAACATATCTACTAGGCAACTGACGCCCTATCGCTGATTCCCGACAAAATGCGTTTTCCTCGGTGTTATAGCGCATTCCCTAGAAGACCCGTGAACGGTGAAACATTTCATCTTTGACCTGACCTGTGACGTCATCGGTGACCCCGAGGTCAATAAAATTTGGTTTCCCTCGACAAATTTGACAGGCCTTTCGAACGCCGTTTGAATTTTTCGGATCCGTCCAGTACTTTCGGAGATACGAGGGGGGGAAAAATAGCCCCCCCCCCCCCCCACCAGGTCGCGTTATAAACAGACCCCACCAGGGCGCGGGTTAACTTGGAACGTCACTCGAGCCAGTACAATCCTCTCCACCATCCAGGTGCAAGCTGTGAGCTAGAGCCAGGGAACTACTGGCATGACTGGATCTCGCTAACTGACCTTTGGTATTGAGCTCACTCCTCTGTTAGCCAAACACACCCAGATGCTCACAAGTGTTCCCACCGACTGACCTTTGGCATTGAGCTCGTTCCTCTGCGCCTGCAGACGGCGCAGGTCCTGGCTCTTCTCGGCCACCACCAGTAGCAGCTCCTCGATCTTGGCAATGTAGTACGGCTTCAGGCCGTCACCCTTGCCACTGTCCACGTCCATCTGACAGAAGAAAAAAACGGGGGATTATTAGCAAACCCACAAAAAGGGAATGTGACATGTGTCTCTGTCAAAGACGCGTGCCAAAATTTTTGTCGCAATCCCACCACTATGCCACACATATTCAGCAAACGGAATATCCTATATTTTTCCAGTTTGGTATCTGCCCAGCTGTGCCTAGAATGAGCTGTTGCCTGTTGGCAAGGGTGGACAATTGTGCGGAGTTGGGGTAGCACGAGTCTTCCCTATTCCACGCGGCTGCGCCGGCTTGGCTTTGGAGCCGCACCAGACGGCAGAGGTCAAGGTCACTGCTAGGGCAGCGGCGGATTTGCTGCGCCTGTACAACCCCAACTCAGCATATTTCTCCACTCCTGACTGTTGGTTTAGCTTGGTAGATTTCTGCGTGTGTTTTTTGCGAGTTTGCATGATTTGCATAATATCGTTTAAAAAAGTTACTACTAATATAACTTCTGTAATACTTTTGCCAAACTGTCAGGGAACTCAGATTTGTTTTTCAATAGAAAAACACAATTCTAAAGAATAGCGTTTTAACTATTGACAACAACCCTTCAGTTATTTATTTAAAACTTAATAGAACTTTTATATTAATTTAAATTGATTGGGTGCTGTTGATTGGGTGCATATATAGGAGCCCATCCAGCCCACTGGAATCAACCAGCCAGCTGAGCCATCTGTTGGATCTCGTCGCCGCCTCACGACCTACACACCTGCTGATTACCGGCGACTTCAACGCTCCCGACATCGACTGGGCGGCTGAGGTTTCAAGGGCACCAACTGGGCATTGGTCGCACGAGCTTCTAGAACTCTTTAGGGACCACTACCTCACTCAACACGTGCTGTCCCCAACGAGATACCGCCCCGGACAGACGCCGCACGTCCTGGACCTCGTGCTGACCAACGAGGAAGGCATGGTCCTCGACCTCCGCAGCCATCCGCCACTCGGCAGTAGCGACCACGTCGTCCTGACGTTCACCCTGCGGTGTTACGCTGAAGTCGAGCAAGTGACAACACTGAAACCGGCACTCCACCGCGGCGACTATGGGGCGATGGTCCAAATGGCGCGAGAGGCGACCTGGCCTGTCTCTGATGGCTGCACCGTTGACCAACACTACCGAGCGTTTCAAGAAGTCCTGGACGGCATCTGCGAGCGCGGCATCCCTAGGCAGCACCCAGGTGGCAGGAAGCGAAACCTGTACATGACGCGCGAGGCCCTGACGCTGCAGAACCGTAAGAAGAGAATGTGGAAGAGATACCTACTAACCCAAGATACCCTGGACTACTGCCGATTCTCTCGAACCAGGAACCAGTTGAAGGGACTGGTTAGACGTCTCCGCAGGAATTTTGAGCGGCAACTGGTGGAGAACCTGCCGGAAAACCCGAAGGCATTTTGGCGTTATGTGCACTCCCGCCTGACCACCAGAACAAGAGTGGACGACCTCGTCACTGAGAATGGGGATATGGCGTGCACGGACGCAGCTAAAGCTAGGGCTCTGGCGGAAGCTTACAGCAGTGTGTACTGCTGGGATGAAGACCCGGCTGACGTTCCAGCAATGAATCCCCAGTATGGAGGCCCAACGTTGGAGGAGCTGCGGGTGACGCCGGGGCAAGTGGAGGGTAAACTCCGCGACCTACGCCCGGCAGCATCACCAGGCCCTGACGCAGTCCATCCTAGGGTGTTGCGCGAGCTGGCTGCCCCCCTGTGTGGTCCCTTGACAGACCTCTTCAACCACTCCTTGGCAGACGGAAGAGTCCCAAGAGATTGGAAGCTAGGTCAAGTTGTCCCCATTTATAAAAAGGGACCTCGTAGCGATCCTTCCAATTACCGTCCCGTCAGCCTGACGTCCGTGACGGCGAAAGTGTTGGAGTCGCTCGTGCGTGACGCCCTGTTCGAGCACATGACAGTGACAGGCCAGCTAACTGAATGCCAGCACGGGTTCCGCCCGGGGCGCTCCTGCGCAACGCAGCTTCTCAGCACACTCGAGGAGTGGACTTGGCTGATGGAGGAGGGCGAGCCGGTTGACGTCGCCTACTTGGACTTCCGACGCGCCTTCGATTCGGTGCCTCACCTGCGTCTTCTCCAGAAGCTCCACGACATGGGCGTTAGGGGACGCCTCCTCGAGTGGCTTCGCTCTTTCCTGACAGAGAGAAAGCAAAGGGTCACTGTCAACGGCAGCTTCTCGGACTGGGTCGCAGTCGGCAGCGGTATCCCGCAGGGCACAGTTTTGGGACCAGTGCTCTTCATCGCTTTTGTCAACGACCTACCTGGCTGCGTAGAGAGCGCATGCAAGCTCTTCGCTGATGACACGAAGGTGTACGTCGGAGCGGGCACCGAGATCGGCCGCAGAAGGCTCCAGCAGGATTTGGACGCCCTGGCGGCCTGGTCTCGGAAGTGGAAGCTGCCGTTCAACCCATCCAAGTGCACAGTGCTTCACCTGGGCAGCCAAAACGTGCGGGCGAAGTACACGATCGAAGGTGCTGCATTGAAGACTGTTGACACGGAAAGAGACTTGGGGGTCCAGATGGACAGACTGCTTAAATTCAGGGAGCAGGCGGCGACCGCCATTGGCAAGGCCAACAGAACCCTCGGCCTGATCAAGCACAGCTTCGTCCACATCGATTCCAAGACACTTCCTCTGCTGTATAAGACAATGGTTCGCCCGCACCTAGAGTACTGCAATCAAGTATGGGGCCCGTTCAACACGACCGACGTGAGGCTGGTGGAGCGGGTTCAGCGACGGGCTACGCGCCTTGTCCCTGGACTTCGGCATCTGCCTTACGAAGAACGACTGAAGAGTCTTAAACTTCCCTCCCTCCAGTACCGCCGTCGACGCGGAGATATGATCACGATGTTCAACATCATGCACGGACGCTCCGGCCTGGACAAGGACGACTTCTTCTCGCCCGCCCCAAGTACACGCACCCGCGGCCACCGACTGAAGGTCGCCAAGAAGCCAGCGGTCAGCCGCGTCCGGCGCAACCACTTCGCCACCCGGGTTGTGTCGGACTGGAACGCTCTACCAGAGGAAATCGTCTGCTCGCCATCGACCAATGTTTTCAAGAACCGGCTGGACAAGCACTGGACGAACTATGCCTTCGTCGTTCCACAATAGTGAAGACTGTTGACGCTACCCGAGCTCTTTACGACGGATCCACCGGGCAATCCTAGTGCCTTCAATGATCCCCAAATATCAGGTATCAGGTATTAAAATTTATATGAAAAACATATAACAAAAATGTTGTCGTTTTTTTCTAGAACAACATTACGCAATTCATGCAAACTCAATAATAAAGTGATTTGAATAAAATGATTCAATCAGTCCAGTATGCCTATGTTATACCTGACGTGGGCACCAAATAGACACCTAGTCTACAACAGCCCATCCGATTAAACCTTAACCTCAACCTACTCGCAAAAAACGCATGCAGAAAACGCATAGTGTATCCAGGCCTTCAGGTAAGTGTAAGTACGGTACTTAGACTTAGGGTGGTAGGTACTTAAAGTACCTACCACCCAGAGACTAGAATAGCTTTAAATTGTGCAATGCAGTAATGCACGTCAATGCACTCCCAGCTGGAAAATAAAATTCAACTCAATAAGGCAGCTAATGTATATGATAAGCATCTGAAATAAGAGCAACAATGACAATAGCAAAAAAAAACATGTTATTACAGCCAGGAATGCCGTATGTAATGCCGGTTTCCGTACCAACCTTCTCCGGGCGTGGAGCCATTGCCACCGCAAATTCAGTGACAAATAAAAGTAGAGGGTCAATCAATATCAAATGTCACTCACTCGAAAATTACGGAAAGAAAGATAAGGACCCAAACTTCATAAATATCTCTTCAGAACTTCAAATACTCAAAGAACCAAAAACTCAAGGCCCTCAAAAACTCGTCGGCCTTTGGAGTTTTCAGTAGCCGACACAATTCTAAAAATCATCGTCTAGTGTTCACAGTGAGAGAAGTTTGTCATCAATCAAGCTTATCGCCAGGCAACTTGCAAGTAAATAAGTAGTTGCCTGGCAATTTGCGTTTCTGACTGTGGACGCTTTTTGATAATGCTGCTGTCGAACACTACTTCAGCCTTATATCGCGCCTTAAATGCCGCCTTGCGTGAAGAGTTGCTTTGTATTCTTTATGTGCTGTCAATAGCAGCTTGATACCAAAAATGATTTTATGTGTAATAATACGGCATTTTCCAAGGCTTGTCTCAATGTCGGTTATTATTTTTTTCATTTTTCTTTACATTTTTGAAACTTGTTTTGTTTTTTAAATTGTCCGACTTTTTAATTTTTATCACCGATTGGCTCACCTTCGTTTTGATGTGCGAAAAAGAATACGATTTGCGTACGGTTCAGGTTGCTCTGTGTAGTAGTGCATAGCGATTAGCGCGATGTATTTGCTGTATTTTGCTGTATGCGGCTCATTGAACGGTCGTCAAGTTAGATGTAAGTGAATCCTAATCTATAATCTAAGATTCGGAATCAGGTGAGCCCCTACGATTTGGACCAAACTTGGTCAGTGGATAGTACGTAACGTCCTGATTACGATGCACCCAAAATCTAAGCTCGGCCCGCCATATTTACGAAGTGACGGATGTTTGAATTTCAAGGTCATTCGGGAGAGCCCCTGCGATTTCCGTCAAAATTTGTGTACGGACACTCTAGATGCTCCTCATTACGAATATCACAAAATTTAAGCTCGGCCCGCCATATTTACGAAGTTACGGAGGTTTGAATTTCAAGGTCATTTGGGTGAGCCCCTGCGATTTCCGTCAAAATTGGTATACGGACATATTACATCCTCCTCATTACAAATATCATAAAAGCTAAGCTCGGCCCGCCATATTTTTCAAGTTACGTAGTCACAAAGTTACGGAACTTCAAGGTCATTCGGAGAGCCCCTCCGATTTTCGTCAAAATTTGTATGCGGACACATTACATGCTCCTCATTACGAATATCGTAAAAGCTAAGCTCGGCCCGCACTATTTTAAAAGTTAGAGATTTTTGAATTTCAGTGAGTTTCAAACGTCAGTAACTTTTGAAATAGTGCGGGCCGAGCTTAGCTTTTACGATATTCGTAATGAGGAGCATGTAATGTGTCCGCATACAAATTTTGACGAAAATCGGAGGGGCTCTCCGAATGACCTTGAAGTTCCGTAACTTTGTGACTACGTAACTTGAAAAATATGGCGGGCCGAGCTTAGCTTTTATGATATTTGTAATGAGGAGGATGTAATATGTCCGTATACCAATTTTGACGGAAATCGCAGGGGCTCACCCAAATGACCTTGAAATTCAAACCTCCGTAACTTCGTAAATATAGCGGGCCGAGCTTAAATTTTGTGATATTCGTAATGAGGAGCATCTAGAGTGTCCGTACACAAATTTTGACGGAAATCGCAGGGGCTCTCCCGAATGACCTTGAAATTCAAACATCCGTCACTTCGTAAATATGGCGGGCCGAGCTTAGATTTTGGGTGCATCGTAATCAGGACGTTACGTACTATCCACTGACCAAGTTTGGTCCAAATCGTAGGGGCTCACCTGATTCCGAATCTTAGATTATAGATTAGGATTCACTTACATCTAACTTGACGACCGTGCTCATTGAATAGTTTGCTCGAGATTTGATTATTTTTGCCATTTATTCTGATTTCACAATATTCTAGTAAAGCAAGGGTAAGGAGACCGTGAGCGCCGAGACACAAGTTAAGGGCAAGGCAACAGTTGCTGTTTATTTTCAATATTTTGTTGTAGTGTTGTATGAATGTATGGTTTTTAGTTTTGGTCTTAATTTGTTGGATATTTATCAAATAATTAATTCTCATGATATGGTCCATGTCAATGTAGACACAGACTGAGTTTGCTCAAGCCCCCAGCGGTGACGCCTGCGCTACCGTTACCCAAGCCCGACAGGTGACTACGAAGTGTGGCGATCATGAATCCATTTGAAGAGCTGCACCAGCTAGGGTGACGAATCTGGGGCCTTGGTATCAACTGGATTATTTGCCAGCTAGCGCTGTATGATGACGCTAGCAGAGGTTGTTATATATCAATGCAATATATCAATGTAAAAGACTGAATATCTATATTAATTTCTCTGTTGGTGCCACTTAACGTGTTTATGTCCATCTGCTACCTTGCATATATGTAAATATTAGTAGATAGTCGCAGGTCCCCAGCCGGCCAGTCAGCTTACACAATCCAGATATTACTAAGGCCCCAAAGCTGCACCAACTCTCATAAAAACAAACTGGCCTTAATTGTTACTACAGAATTTAGATGTCTGCACTTTTCATGTAGGTAATAACTGCAAAGAAAGGTCAGTTTTCCTATTGTGTCTCCCAAGTCCCAATCATTTTCTTGGACAACAATGCATCGGCATAGCAGTGAGCAGTTTAGCCATTACCATGCCTACCATTTTAGGGCCCACACTGCTCCATGAAATTTTGGTTACACACCGGCCACTGTAGTAAATACACACCTCACTGTGCACTGGTGGAGTGCCTCTGCACAGCTGGATCTTGTCTAGATCACATTATTATGCAGTCTGGTCTGGTTTTTAAGACTTAGGCTCAGAGTTTGCCAACTAGATTATGATGTAGCTACCTGCCTATGGCTATTGGCTCTGCAGCATGCCCTGGAGACGACACCCAACTCCTCGACCACTCACTTCCAACAACCCCAGACCTCTCTCAGCTCAGATGTCGTGTCGAGCAGTCAATCTTCGATCTCCAGCTGTGGTTCCAGGCCAACAGTCTAAAAATGAACCAAAACAAAACCTTTATCACTCTCATCGGAACCCAGCAAACTCTAAAAAAGACCGAGTCATTCTACGTCTCACTCTCCGGTAACGACATTCGGCCAAGTCAGACCGTCAAAATTTTGGGTGTGCTGCTCGACCGACACCTGACGTGGGATCCCCACATAACCATGGTTGTGCGTCGCTGCAACTCCATCCTCGCATCCCTCCACAAAATCCGGCACCACCTCACACCTGACGTCCTTAAACTCCTAGTCCAAGCCCACGTGTTCCCACACATTCAGTATTGCCTGTCCGTCTGGGGAGGAGCCGCCAAGTGTCAAATGCAGCGCGTCCAAAAGACGATGAACTTCGCCGCCAGACTTGTGACCGGGACGCAACGGTCCGAGCATATATCGCCGGCGTTGGAGTCGCTTGGTTGGGAGAGGGTGAATGTGATGCTGCGCCGCCATGATCATGTTCACGTCCAGAGAGCCCTGTATAATGACCAATGTCCCCCAGCGATGTCGGCCATGTTCACCCGCCGGGCCGAAGTGTCGTCACGTGACACTCGCGCGGTAGCAGCCGGGAAGTTGCAGCTCCCGAAGTGGCGGCTCGCAAGAACTCAGCGGGAGTTTGCATATAGAGCGGCAGCATCGTGGAATGCGAAGGACACCGCCACAGGCACCTGATTTTAGAATGTCAACCTGCTGATGTCAACTTCCTACATGCGGATGATGCGTTCGCGAGTGTTTTAATGTAATCGTCGATGTGTTTTAACGTAGCTTTTGCCATTGTATCAGTATCATATATTTTTAACTGGGTCTCATTTAGCTCTTATGTCACCATGTCACATTCCTGACCGGATTCTTAATACCCACCCCGTGGAAGAATTCTAATAAATGACTTTGACTTTGACTTTGGAGGAAACAGTTGGCACAGATGGCCAAATCCTACCTCACTTGTTTTACTGCAAAAGCACATCAACTTTTTTGGGTCACTCAGACTTTATGGTCCTAAAAAGCACACTAGTCAAGGGTCATACTCATAGCGTAGCTTGATAGAGCATTGAATACCTTAGTGGAATTCTTCATTGTTTATGTAGATAGAAGTTCAATTTTTTTAATGATTCAGCCAGTTTGACAGAAGGACAGTACTTATCAGGAGTTGAAGTAATATATGAAAAAAAAATTAGGAAGTCTTTGTATGACCTAAGCTAATGTCATCACCTAAAAATTTCCTGACCTCCTCTTTCATCATTTTGTGTAAATTTACTGCATGAAGTTCCTTCCCCTGGACTTCCAGAAAGCCCAATGTTCAGCAGGTATATGTTAGACCCAGATCGTATTGCATTGACTTTTGTCTCTATGGTTCTTTTCTTTAGCCTGAAGTGTCCTGAAGCTCAGTTGGTATAGCATTGGACTCCCAGTGGTGAGAGCCCAAAAATTGCAGCCGCAGCCAGCTGAAGTTAGCTCGGTGGGACGGGCTGTCTCTGGTTTTAATGGGCACGCTTACGATAAATTATAATGTATGATAAATCTAACTTCTTGTAGGTATGTGCTAAATTCTGACTTCATGAAATAATTCGTTCGGGCCGCCGATCGCTTCGGCCATTTTATCCCGCGCGGATTCCAAAAAGTTGCCCACCCCTGCCGAAGGGTACTAGTATCAGTACTTCTCATCCCTGTGTGATCGCTAATGACCCCTGTCTTTTCCTCCTCACAGCTCTTCCAGTGACAGCCATGGCAGAGGTCACATCACCCTCTCAGCCTCTGGAGCAGTTTGTGCTGCTGGCCAAGTCGGCTCGCGGGGCGGCCGCCGCCGAGCTGGTCCGACAGGCTCTGGACGCGCCGGGGGTCTACGTGTTCGCCGAGCTTCTGGATATGCCACACATCAAAGATGTTAGTATTACAGCATACACATGACACACTTGGATGCATGGATCATGATGATTCTTTTATGTGTGCTGTTGCTTCTAGCAGATGACTTTCCTGATGAGATGACATACTCTGGATGAATTATGATTTTTGACAAATTAATTTTACCGTACATAAGTGATTTTCTAACTTACATAGTTTAATTATTCATATAAGTCACAATAAGCCAATCAAGCATGCAATTAGCATCTATTGTACAAGGTACGTCATGTGCCATTCTACCATTTCCAATTTATAATAGCTCCACTCACACCCTGCCCCCAGCTGGAGTCCCACGCCGAGTACGGCTCCCTGTACCAGTTGCTGCAGCTGTTCGCCTGCGGCGTCTATCAGGACTACCTGCGCCGGCGCCAGGAGCTGCCGCAGCTCAGCGACATGCAGCGACTGAAGCTGCGACACCTCACCATTGTCACCATGTCCACGCAGACCAAGGTAGTTGGATCTAACGATAGATCGCGCAATTAACGTTTGCCTATTTTGTTGGATAGACACGATGTTTTTTCACTTTAAAGTGATTTACTGTATTTACTGTGTATTAAATGATAAGTTATTCCTCGTTGCTTTCTGCACTCAGCCTTTGACGTTTCTATCTGGTTTTATATGCTGTTGATTGCTGTGCGTAGTAAATTTGTCTGCATAGTTTTCATTCCGTCATTCCGAAATGTTGCGTTTTATGTTCATCAATATATTATGTGACATGTGTATTGTGTAGCGATGCCTACCGTTAACTGATGTATGGTGTCCGATTTCAGCGCATCCCTTACGCTGATCTAATGAAGGAGCTGGACCTGGACAACACAAGGGAACTGGAAGATGTCATCATAACCGCCATATACTCAGGTGAGTCGCGCTCGGAGGGCGGGCTGGATGAGGCGCCTCTGATGTAACTGTGGTGCAACACTGCGCATAGTGAATCCGCTGTCCTCGTGCATTGATGCTACACTCGAGCGCTAATCGCAGAACATCAAGATTTTGTTGTGCTATTCGTGTGCTTCTCTGCAAGAAGTCGTTCAAATGCGCCACCCGAAGTAAGTCCTTTTATATTAGGACTATGTTGTATCCTGATACCGTTTGCATGAATGTGATATTCTATCCGATTTATTCCCCTGACCTGCCAGTGCCACCTTCTCTTTGTCAGTCCTTTGAGTTACCCTCAGGTCTGTCTCCTGTCCTAACCAGCATACCTTGTGACGTCCCCTTCTTATTGACCTGCCCTCCTCTGACCCACCACTGACCCTCTCTCCCTCTCCCCCACAGACGTGATCCGCGGCAAGCTGGACCAGCTGGGCGGCCAGCTGCAGGTCGAGTACGCCGCCGGACGAGACGTGCGGCCAGAGGCCGTACCGCGGGTCATAGCCACCCTGCAGGCCTGGTGTCAGACCTGCGACACGGTGATGCAGTGTATAGACAGACAGGTGCAGACGGCCAACGGCGAGCGGGAGGCGCGCGCCCGACACCGCGCCGCCATTGAGGCCAAGGTGAGGAGAACTGGGGTTTGCGTGCGTGTGGTAGGCTTGGAGCTAGATAAATACGTGGAGCGTTGGTGGCTGTGACAGGCCGTTTCAGAAATCAGAGTAGGGGGTTCACATCTCCCGCGTTGGTGAAAATTTCTTGTAAAGGATAGATCCTGGTCTATCAGCATTCAGCGGTGTCTAACTAATTCATGGGCGTTGACTGTTCCTCCTCATTTTAGCGGTGCCTTGTGATAGGTAATGCCCATTACTTGAAATCGAGGCTCGAGCTGCCTGCCAGTCACATTTGACACACGAGTCTTTGTTGCGCCACGCTGTCCCCGCAGTTATGACGTAGCTCAGTCCTTGTCATCGCCGCAGAAGGGGAGGGAGGGGCCTTATGAAGCCATCTATCATAGTCGGGAGGCCGGACATGGCACGCGGGATCAGCTGGATGACCTTCTCCTCCCCCTCCAGTGTCCTGCGAACGTGACCCTTGTGTGACGATCTGGAAACCCGCAGTTCCGTGGAGGGAACGCTGGAGTTCCTTGTTGGCTCGTCTAGCTAGGACGATGACAGCTAACACCGAGCATAAATTATGGTGTCACATTCGCAGATCAGGATGCTCCACATTTTTGCAGTAATCAGATGTGTCTTATTTTAGGAACGCGCTCCCTAACTAATTTGCATTCAACCTCTTCAGTTGCATCACGTGTACCCTGATCAGATTCTTTGTTCGGGAGTCATTGGGCCTCCCAGTGCGCCATCCCATGGAGGACGTTATGAATTATGATTCGGCAATTACGAGTATGCGAAGTGGACCAGTCCTGAATGTTCTGACGAAAGAATATTCACATCAATTAAGCGATTCCTAGCAGCTTCAAGGGTGGAATAGCATACATGCTTCTGAAGCATGCATTAGCTCTCATATTGCATCAGTGGTCCTCACTCGGTCCGCTTTCTAGCCTATCGATGACATTTGGTAGTGTTGGACCCAGAAGAGCGATGGCCTGTCTGTCCCCGCAGCCCATTATGATATGTCTCTCACCAAACCACACAGATTGTGTTACAGGACGGGACCGTCATGTACATACAACGCCACTGTGAGTTCGCTCCTCTGACGACTGACTCTCCGTGCGTTTCAGGTACAGACAATTCGCGAGAGCCTCAGTGCCAAAGATCAGGACGATCCAATGTCCTCCGACTCAAAGGAGACCGTGTCTACCTCCGACCGAAGCAAGAAGGCGAAGACGCGAGCGGCCAAGGCCGGCACCAGTAAATTGTGGAAGTCGTGAGGCGTTCCCGGCTGATCTTCGGAGTCAGATCATAGTGCCGGAATGTGATACAGACTGGGGGACTGGGCGTCTGGGAAAGACAGTTGGGCTGGACGGTAGAGCGCAGCCTGCTGATCGCTGTCCAGACGAAAATATGCGTCTGTTGAGGTACGAGGACAGACCTGGCTGTTTCCGAGTACCACACCACGGCAGGTACGTGTACACTCACGGTGTTCGTACAGTAACCGGCGGTACGCTGATGGACGGTGTACAGTGCTTCTCTATGTAGTGAGAAGCTCGGACCGGCAGAACTACCCTCAGTGCACCGTGCCGTGTATGTGTGTGGTGGGGTCGTGAGGAACCCCTTCTGCTGAGCCGAGTGTTAGAAGTGACCTGGCTGTCTCGTACGCTAAATGGTGTGTGCGGACTAAGGTGGGGTGTGTGGTATTTTCGCTGTCAACTCGGAAAGCTGTGTTTGACGATGGTACGGATGATGGTGGGGGAACTGCAGTCTGCCCCACACGATTGAATTGCCCCGGCCCTCGGTGCCTCTGCTAAGATCTGTAATTTGGAAATATGTAGCTCTGAACTTGCAAGATTTATGGTCAACTGCTTGAATATCCCTTCGAATTTGAAACTTCATTTTCAATGTGCACACTGCTGCAGATGTAGGTGGACTGCTTGTCGGCTCATTGAGTCGATTCGTGTTGTAAGGCTGCGCTAAGAGGTACCACCGTGTCGAACAGGGCGGTTTGTCGTCGGTGTGCGGGGCAGAGTTGTGGTTGTAATGAACAGAATAAACGTATGGTAAACAATTTTCTCGGTATATTAGGGCCTACACCAGGCGCTGCTGCTGCTAAAACCTACAGCGAACCTCTGGGAAGATGGCCGGATAGCGGCCTCTACGGTGGTCACCAGCCCTGCCATCTATCGGTCAGCACTCAAATCAGGGTTAACCCAGTCGCTTAGCTGTCTGAATCGCCCATCGATGTCGAAGGATGACTAAGTACCTCATTATTGACGTTCAAGGTTGGCAGAGCTGCTCATCAGTTTTATGAGAACTAAACAGGGGGATTCTATCTTCCGCTAGATGATGTCATGTTTCTGTTTCTAAACGTTATTGCTTTCAGCACGCGATCGCATGGCAGCCCTCTTGACATCCTGATTGGGTAATTCGCAATGCTCAGAAACCAGAGTAAAATGAGTCAGAAGGCGCCTGAGGTGACAGAAATGACTGTACGCGGAAATAGAAGCATCCTCCTTCGACATGTGCGACATCTCAAGCATTCTGAGATGTGTTGTAATAGATATGCTATCATTTATCGAGTGTTCTTAGCAGTACATATCGTGGAACGGTGTCGCGCAAAATGATGAAGTGGGTGCAAGCCTCAGTGTGTGTCTTGTATGTTTTGTGTCTGTAGAAATGCTGTGATAATGCCTAGTGTCATACGTACGGGATAAACCTTCTGTCCTTACTTCCTCACTCTCGGGAGCAGGTAGAATCGTCTCAGTCCTGAAGGAAGGGATAGGTTTATCGTGCTCGGGGGTCCTTTCCATGCGGCAATGTGCTGTAAATGCCCTCACCCTGCCACCTGCTTTTGACTTGAGTGATGAGTGATGACATGTCCTTGTCCTACCTCCAACTGATCTAGATCTCCCATCTAACCGATTTGGACCTGGTCTGGACCGGGAAATGAGCCTCTCGTCCTTTATACGAATTATGCTGACCTATTGATTTGCTCTTGCTCAGGCCTGGACCTTGTGTGTGGACTGTTTTGCATTTGAAAGTCGGAAGTTTTATTTGACTGCCTTTACATACATATGCATATGCATTGCATATTTCATAGTGACTTCTCTCTGATGCCTCTTTATGCGCATTGTTCAAATATGTGTATGCTTGTTTGCATGTGTACCTATGCTATTTACTATGCCGTCTGATGTTATGTGTCGCCAGCCAGCTTTGGATTACATCGGTAATTGTAGCCCTTTTTATTCCCGATCTTGGGTCGCCTGGCTGCTGCCTTGCGAGCCATGCAATTAGGTCACATTTTCATGACGAAACCTGCGGTTTGGAATGCACCTCTGCAAGGTCATTTGGGTGCACGACTTGTTCCAGGTACATTTTGGTGTCTGTGAATAGTGCGCTACTTTTTATTATTTTCTCTTCTACTCTTCTGAATTTACATCACATTTCAGCACCAATTATCTTCCTAAACCTTGTCATGCATCTGCTCAAAAATGTATTTTAGGTCGCACATGATTGAAGGTGGTATGTTGGATGATAAGGAAACACATAACCAGAAGGGGTATCGTGCAGTAATAAGGAAACACATAACCGGAAGGGGTATCGTGAAGTAGGCCTCAGTTTGCCTAACAACAGGGGGCTGAGGAGCGTGTGTTGCAGGGTTGTGCTCGACTCAAAAAAATTTGCCGACTCGACTCAGCATTCAACTTCAGAAAGCCCTGACTCAACTCTGACTCAAACAAGGAGCTGATTTTTTCCCCTTGACTCGACTCATGACTCAAGCGGCTCAATGAAAATATGAGTTGACTCAAACTTGACTCAAATTTTTTGTTGAGTCAAGTGTGTTGACTCAAAATTGACTCATATAAAAAAGCTGTTGAGCGGGAGGGGGGGTGAAAAAAATTCGGCAGCAAGGCCAGGCCTAAGCTGTTAAACGAGGGGAGAATGAAAAGCCTATATATTTATGTTTCTAGAAAGGTGAGTCAGCTGACTCATGTTCCTAAATGTTTTTGACTCAACTCAATGTCAAAAGTTATTTTACTGACTCAACTCTGACTCAACTCAACACCTTAATATTTTTGTCCGACTCAACTCTGACTCAACTCAACAGCTCAACATTTTATCCGACTCGACTCAACCCTGACTCATTTGAGTCAGAGTTGAGTCAAATTTCTGACTCGACTCATGAGTCAAGCACAACCCTGGTGTGTTGTGTTGTTTTCCGTTCTACGATAGCAAGACAAAAATGCATCGATTGAATGATGTCGAATATAAATGCATTCCAATGAATGTGTTGCCTTGGGTCTCTTATACAGCATGTCTTTGTCTATCGTGTCTTTTACCCAAGCATTTGGCTGACTGTGTCTGTCACCGTGGTCGCTGACCTGCACGGGTCACACAGGAAGTGCCGTTGAGGAGGGCAGGCTGCCAGAGCCTCCGACACTGCCACTGGCACCGCCACAGCAGCAGACGGTCGCTGGCACGCCTCACCCCCTCCCTGTCCCCCGTGAGTCACGCACGGAGAATGGGTGTCAGCAGGAAGGGGTGGCCAATGGAATGTTATTGTTGGTCGCCGGTCGGATGTCCGATGTCGCTTTGGTCGCTCACAGGCGCGAGCTGGCTGATTGCTGGCTAGGTGACATTTGATTCCTTGTAACTTCTTGGATGAATCAGGTCGAGAGAGAGAGAGGGGGGAGAGAGAGAGAGAGAGAGAGAGAGAGAGAGAGAGAGAGAGAGAGAGAGAGAGAGAGAGAGAGAGAGAGAGAGAGAGAGAGAGAGAGAGAGAGAGAGAGAGAGAGAAAGAGAGATAGTTTGAGCGTTTAATCAGTGATGTAGTGCGTGTATCAAAAGTCAAAACAGTCCACCTTCAGGCGTGTGTTGTGCGGCACAGTCTATATTCAGGCGTATGCAATGCGGTACAGTCTACCTTCAGACGCGTGTAGTGCGGTACAGCCTACCTTCAGGCATACCTATATACCTCAGGTGCGATGCAGTCTATACATTCAGGCATAGGCGTGGGAACTGGGGGCCGGGGGGCATGGCCCCCTCCACTTTTCAGTCATTATTTTAAGCAAGATATTTATTTTCAATTTCAATACGACACTAAGAGCAGAAAATGGTTCAGCAAAGTAAGATGAGCACAGAGCTGCAAAGAATTTCTTCATAGAGGTGTCGGGCCTCCCACAAAGTGTCATTGAAGTTTCACTGCCCCCCCCCCCTCCCACACACACACACACACACACACACACACTTTTCGTGAGGTTCCTACGCCCATGCATTCAGGCGTGTGTTATGCGGCAGCGGCACAGTCCGTAGGTATTTAGGCGCATGTAGTGCGGTACAGTCTACCTTCAGGCGTGTGTAATACGGTCGGTGACTTGGTGGAATTTCTGCCTTCATTTGGCATTTGCATGTATGTACTTTATTATAGTCTACTGCTAGGCGTGGTACAGCATATCCGACTTCACAAAAATGAGTTTATGTTTGAAGATCCCAAGGTTCCAGACTGCTGTTGCCAATACTCACGTTGCATAGCAGCCACCTGGGGTGAAACGGTGCAGGACGATTGGACACATGTTGCACTTACTCCATACGAAACTCGTTATTAGGAAAGGATAAGCTTGTAGTGCACCGCCGCACGTTCTCCGACGCGGCGCGGCACTACCGCCGCTGGCGACTGGCGAGCGCTCCGACGCGGGGCGGCGCCACCGTCGACCTCAACGTGGCGCTGCTGTCGCAGCTGACGCGAGGCGCAGGTTCAGCGATATCCGCCAGATGGCTCTGCTCCACTTGTTCATCTTCTATGTCCGATTTATTAATGTTTTAGAAATGTATGTTCTTGTGTATGTATCATAATGTTCATCGTCGTGTGGGCATTCACGCACTCTTCTAGAAAGTATCTCTCGCTCTGATATACGTTTTCTCACTGCTTTGTACTGTCCTTAACTTTGCCAAAACGAACTATGGTTTCATCGTTGTGTTCACTACATAGCTTGCTCATGCTGATTCAAATACATCGCTATCCTTGGCCGATCTAAGTGTTTGGGGGAGACGGCTCCACATCAGGGAACTTCCCAGCCCGTCGTTGTGTGGAATCCCAAGTTGCGAATCCCAAACACTGGAACGGCTTCATCCGGCTTAGAGCACGACTCGCCACGGCACCAGCCACAAATGGTGACCCCGACGTGATCGGTAGCTCAAGAAGTCATCGTCTCCGCCTCGGCAAGAAGAGGTCATCTTTGACCTGGCCTCCCCATCGCCTCGGCAAGAATGGGTAATCTTCACCCGGCTTCCGCTGCCGCGAACAGTGAATAGTGCGCTGGTGACGTGGCCTAGCCTCAGCGCAACGAGCGCCAACGCAGTGCAGCGCAGCGAGCGCCAACGCAGTGCAGCGCAGCGAGCGCCAACGCAGTGCAGCGCAGCGAGCGCCAACGTAGTGCAGCGCAGCGAGCGCCAGCACAGTGAGCGCGGCGAGCGCCTAGTGATTACCGACAGTCTTTCAGTGTGCCTCTAGTGTTAGTGTTTGCTGTATATAGTGACTATGCCGTCACCCATCGAGCCGGAGAGTGCCGCCCAGGACGCGCCGACGCGGCCATTCGCGTCGTTCCGGCTGCCGGCCTACGCACCTGAAGAAGCCGAGCTCTGGCTGGTGCAGGTCGAGTGTGCCTTCGCCGTCGCCGGCATCACGGATGACCACGACAAGTTCCGGCTGCTGGTGGCCAACCTGCCTGTGCATGTCGCTTCACAAGTTCGAGACGTGATAACAGCCGAGACCGGCTCGTTCTCGGAACTAAAAGGGGCCCTGAGCACGCGCCTGGCCCAGTCGCGCGCCTCACGCCTCGAGGCACTCCTCCGCGACCACCAGCTGGGCGACAGGAGGCCCACGCAGCTGTTGCGCAGCATGCAGCACATGCTGGGCAGCGCGGGCCACGACCTCGGCCTTCTCAGGACGCTGTTCCTGCAGCGCCTGCCGCCGACGACCCGCGCCGCCCTCGCGCTGCTGCCGGAGGACACTGGTATTGACGACCTGGCCAGCGCGGCCGACCGATTCCAGGAGGCCTCTGGCGGTGC